ACTTAGGGTATAATATTGAGCTAGATAAATGGCTGAAGATACGGGACACTAATATGAAAGTCACAAGAGCAACCTCCTTTAAAGAAAACATCTATAAAGTTGCACTTAGATGGTACTTCTATCCAGCTAGGCTAGCAAAGTATTCCAAGACAGTTACTAATGTATGTTGGAAATGTGGACATAAGGTAGGCACGTAATTCCACATGTGGTGGACTTGTAGTAAAGCCAAGGACTATTGGAGGATGATTGGTAAAACGTTAAAGGAAATGATGGGTGTTTTAATACCTTTACAACCAGAATTGTTTCTACTCAATATGGTTCCAGAGGGATATGGGAAAGTTGAAAAAAAATTGTTGATACACTGTATAACGGCAGCCAGAATATTATTTGCCAAGTACCGGAAAATGGAAAAAATACCAGACAGGATAGAGGTTGTACAAAAATTATTTGATGTTGCCGAAATGGACAAAATATCATGTATACTAAAAGGGAAAGATGAATCGTTTTTTGAAGGTAACTGGAGTAAATTTTATAAATGGAAACTGAGCGTGAAGGGTTAGGATTGCAATGGCACTTCAACCCATTCTTCAAAAGTGTCAGTGTTTTAAAAACAGAAAATTTTCCCATGACAAATACATTCTAAGCCAGATTTATTTATTTATTTATTTAATTAATTCCTGCCCGCCCCCACCCCACTGTAGCAGGCTCAGGGTGGCTTACATAGGATATTACACAGCTAAAACAAATTTAGATAAAATCATAACAACATAAGTATAAAACATTACAAAGTGCTAGTGCTAGGTGGGTAGTCGTGTTGGTGTGAAGCAGCAGAACAGTTTGTGTCCAGTGGAGGCACCTTTAAGACCAAGAAAGATCCATTCAACTTTTTGCTGTTCTTAAAGGCGGCCACTGGACTCAAATATCCTAAGCCAGTAGATGGCAGAGCAGGATTACTTTTTGAAGACAGGACGCACGGTCTTTCTAAAATTTGCCCTGAAACTTGGTGTGTGTTTGTATGTGTGTCTTATTTCAGTCCCATTCTGTTGAGTATATTCTGAAAACTGAGATGAAAACCCACTTTAAAATAATGACGCTTCCCATATCGATCCAAAAACAGAATTAACTTTGGCCCTTCATTTATGTAAAACAGACTCAATGTATATCTGATACAGGGCAGAGGATGCTTAACTCCAGAAATGTCTATGGGGACTGCTTGAGTTCCTTACCAGTTAATGGCTAAGAACAATTTTTTAAAAAAGTGAAAAATAGACTTAGGATAGTCATCCGGAGGACAAATTATTGCATGAAAAAAACCCCATCTTTGGTCCAAGATGGGGACCTGCTTAACCCAGTGTGGGGTTCTTCAGGGCCATATTAACAGTGTGGAGCTGGGACAGTTAAAAGGGGGGAACGCTGGCCCCTGTGCCCCCCCGCCCCCCGGTCCTACCGTCACTTCTGAGGAGGATGAGGCGGAAAAGAATTCTCAGTGCCTCACAACAGTAGAACTCTGGTATTATGGAGACTCTGGAAAGAATCTGGAATCTGACTAAGAGGGGAAAAGGATGATAGAAAAATGAGAAATTTTATTCTGATAACAATAGCACAATTGTGAATTCCGTCATGATGCCAGTATTTGTTGTGAAGAAAATCAAAGGTTTTTCTTTTATATTACTCTTCCCCCCCCCTTTTTTGTCTTGCCTTTGTCTTTCTTTTTAATTTTTAAAAATCCTTCAATAAAATTTGTGTTTTTTTTTTTTTAAAAAAAAGAATCTGGGGGGGAACTGAAAAATGCTTGCAATTATGCTGCCCTCATTTGCCATCATGCATGCAAAGCCCTGGGGTGTTTTGGTGAGGAAGTGTGAGAATGTGAATTCCACCAATGTGAACGATTGACCATAGACCTGCGGCACTATGATGCTAGCTTAGCGGCCACTGTGTGAGGCTGTTGTCAGGAATCGAGCCCTTGTGCTTGAGCTTGGTGGGCTAGCATCTCTGCTGCTGGGGTCATTGTTTCCCTCGGTTTGCTTATCGCCCTCTCTGCCGTGCCTCAACAGCCCTACGGGGAGGGAGGGAGTGCCATGTGGCCTGAGTGCCATGTGGCCTTGCTCTGCTGTTTATCAGCCCTAACACGTGGGAATAGGAAGATTCTCACAGGCTCTCCACTTCGGAACTTTCCACTTTGAAGCCTTGGGCCGAGGGGGGGAGTAAGGGTGATGTCACGGGGAGTGCATCTGTTCTCTATACACATGGTAACGTTTCGTTTTCCAATTAGTCTCAGCAAGGAGCCTCTTCCTTGAATAATCTCATATCTCTGCCTCTAATACAGTTTTCAAAAAGACTACTGGACTGAGAGTGGATTTCCTGGGAACCTGACAGCTGTGTGATTGACACAAGACATCTCAAACGCAGGCGGCTTATTTAGAGCCAATATACTGCTGCGGCAAACTGCTTGTGTGACCACAGCCTCAGTCGTGTCTCCCCATCTAGCTGGCTGGCTTGTGTAGTAGCATCTGCTGTGCCTTTTGTTTTTTTCCAGATCCAGTGGGTGGCAATTCTTTCAACACCAAGCACTCCTTCTTTGCATGAATACTCAGTTCTGCTGCGTGCTGCCCACACATGGACTGACAAAGTATCTTTTGCCTTTCCCAGGGGCGTCTGCCCTTTAGATTTTTCCTCATCCTCTTATCACCTCAATTAGCTTCTGAAACTGGGTGGAGGATTGACTGGGCCAGAGGATCTAAAGGGAAACATGCAGGCTGTTGTTCACATTACAATGGAAAAGAAAGGAGGGGAGGCTGCAGAAGAGAGCTGGAGACAGTTAACGCTTAACTTCGGGCTTTACTGCGGGGAGTTGTCCTATTGGTTTTGGCTGCATAGTGCTTTGGTTTATCCCATAATTTCCACACACAGTATTTGTGCCTTTAATTTTCACATTGAGGTCCAGTTCTATTGAGGCCACTTTTATCCTGATATTTTTCTGGAAGGTGATTTTGTGTCAGCTTTTTTCTCGTATTCATTCTGTTGGTATCCGTGATCCTGTGGGTGAGGTAATATGAAGTTACCTTTCACTTAAGGTTGCCAACCTCCAGGTAGGGCCTGGAAATCTCCCAGAATTACAGCTAATCTCCAGACTCCAGAGATCTCTTTGGGTATGTAACACTGCCACCAGGAATTTAATTCCAGGTCTTATCATACAACTTGCCCCTTCGTATTGTGCCCAAGCTCGAAGGCTCCTTCGTTGGACTATGTGGTCCTGAGGATGAGACTCTAGTATTGAAACAGCATGTGACTCTGGGTAAACAATAAACAAAATAAACTTTATTTGTACAGGAAGCATCTTGGTTTCAAGATGTTTTGTAACTTTTCAGTGACTAAAACAGTGTATATTAATAACTTCTGACTGAGGTTCGATCCAGGTGGGCAGCCTTGTTGGTCTGAAGCAGTAGAGCAAATTTAGAGTCCAGTGGGGGCACCTTTAAGGCCAACAAAGGCTTATTCAAGGTATGAACTTTTGTGTGTAAGGCACCCTTTTGAAGTGCGACTTGCACACAAAAGCTCATCCCTTGAACAAACCTTTGCTGGTCTGACTGGACTCTAAAGGTGATTTCCCACAAGCGCTGCTCCGCGCTCACTCTTTGGCCCGATGGTACGTGTCAATTTCACACAAGCTGCTGCGCGAGGTTCTGTCAGCTTCACTCTCACACACTCATAACACTTTGACAATATTAGGTTTTGACTCTCTCTAGTCGCTAATATGTCCTCTAAAGTATTCTACTTCCTTTATAGAATCTCAGATGCATTTCACAGCACTAATATGGGATTCTAATCAGAAGACTGCGGGGAATTTCGGACAGCCGATACGCTTCTGTCTTGTTAGGGGAGCGTTTCTGAACCGTTTTACATGCAGACTGCTTCCAAGTGGTCTTCACTTTTCTATACCGTTTCTGAAGCACTACGGGGTGCTGTGTAAAATGTAGTGCTTCCTCTGGCGCCGCTTTGTTTCCCCACCCTTTCCCGCCTGCGCAGGTGATCTCCGTCCTTTTTAAAAAACATGTTCGTTTTAGAGTGCTATAGCGCTATAGCACTCTAAAACGAATGTGTTTTTTTTCCCAAAGGACAGAGATCGCCCGCGTGGGGGGGAAAGGGCAGGAAAACAAAGCGGTGCAGTCTGAAATGCCAAACCGCTTCAGAGACGGCTCCTTACCGGTAGGGGAAAGGCTGTGTGAAATGGGAGCCCTGTACCGGTTAACTCCAAGATGGTACAATAACGCCTTAAAAACGGCTTTAAAAGGGTAATGTGAAATCCCCCACTGCTTCTCAGACTCTGTAGACGGCTGACCGACTGACCACAACCGACTGTTGACGGCTGGCTGAACAGGCTCACTGACTTTCTCCACACACACTTCTTAGCTCCGCCCATACACTCTGAGTCACCAACCAATCATCTCACTCACTCATCCCCTTCTCTTGTTCTTCGGCAATTTACCAAACATTTAAGAAACACACACTTAAAACTTTAAATCATTACAAGTGCCTTAAGCCAGGGGTCCCTAGTGTGGCTCCTACGGGCACCGTGGTGCCTGATTATACCTTTCCTGGCTCCTGTCGGGTGTTTGGAGAAAGTGGGTGGGGCCGGATGGGGCTTTTGTCCAACATGGCTACTAATTGGCCACTGGAGACCTGATGGGCTGTACAGGTCTTTGAAAACGTTGCGTTGGCAGCAGCTGCCCCCACAGCACCAGGACCCGTCACTGTGTGACCGAAGGGAAGCTGGGTGTATTGAAGAAAAAAAGTGTGTGTTCATTTAAAAACGGGTCTTCTACTGAAATGTTTCTGCAGCAGCCATTTTGTGGTTGTGCCCAGTGCCCATCATTCTGTGTCAGAATTCCAGAGGTGTCCACGCGCTGGAAGATGTTGGGGATCCCTGCCTTAAGTGCTCCATTGCTGCACATGATTTTTAAAACACTAATCCGTGAAATCAGTGTGACATGTAAAGGGCATTACCCCTTCACTTTACCCAGGGTAACCTGCGAAAGAGGTAAGTATTTAAAAGTCAACAAAGCAGCACCAAGGAATGGTAGGCCAAGGACTATGAGCCGGCAGGACATGGAGGAGTGTTTGGGAGAGGCGTCTATGACTCGGGTCTTCAGAGGCTTCAGAACTCGGTCCCACTGCGTCAAGATTGCAGTTCGGGCTTTCTCCCACTTCCCCAGTCCGGTCAGGCGGTACTGGTAAGAAGTGCAGGGGCCGAAGAAGACATGAAAGGCTAGCTTAGGATCTGTGAGGAGCAGCAGCGGCACATTGGGCATGACGCCTATGCAGGTGGCAATGTCATCCATGTAGTCGATGAAGCTTGTCCGCACTTTGTCCTTTTCGCTGGGAATGCCCCTGAAGCAGAAAAGAAAGGAGGAGAGCGTCAAGTTTTCAGAGCACTCCAGTAAGGCCTCTTCTACTTACTACAGCTCAAGGTGTAATGAACTCCGCGATTCCAGAATCCGAGAGGCGGCATGCAGCCACAGGAGGACCCAAGAATCTCAGCGGGACAGGGAGCGGCTTGCTCGTGACCAGCAGCACCAGCATCGTCACTGAGTGGGGATGGGAACCCAGGTTTCCCCCAGCCCACCTCAGGGTGCTCACCTGGTGCTGAGATGAATACTGTTGAGTTTCTACTTTTGCCCCTGAAGTAGTTATTCCAGGGGGTTTCCCCAAAGACTGCCTTTTCCTGTTGCTGTTGTCTGAGATTGCACTCACTGTTGTGCTCTGCTGCGGCTGCGGTTGTTGCAGCACTATTTGGTTTAATCTGGATCCCTCAAGGATGAATAAAACAGCTAGGGATCATATATTGGAGGAATCAATCCAAGGCACAATCCCTGGGGAGGGAAGTTCCTGAATGGCAACTTGGTGAAGCATCCCGAAAAACCCAGAACCTGTCCTGTGCACTGGTTGAATACCCAGATCCAATGCAGACAGGTGACTCCAGGGCAATTGAGCGATTCCTACCAATAACCGCTGGTTCCTGCTTTCCCCCTTCCTCCATTGTTCTTCTCCTTTTCAATTAAAACTATAGGCAGAATTGAACAATCCTGCTAACTGCTTGTTTTCCTATATCCTCTTCCTGATTTGGAATTTTGCATGTGGACAAATGGGATGTCTGGAACCGAGGCCAATAAAGCAGTCCTGCTTTTCTGAGCAGCAAATACAATTTAAAGACTCAGAAGGTGTTTTCAACTAACCACACGATGGCACTGTTTCTCTGGAGGAAAAATGGTGGCCCACTGCTGAAGAGCCAGCAAAATCTAAAAGTGTGCTGCAAGGAGAAGACACCCAATTTTGTTTCCCATGACCCACAATTTGGGGCCAAATTTAGTGTCATTGAGGGAGCTCCTCCCTGCGCCCAGAACGAGCAATGTAAATCCATAAGGGTTTTCTGCGAGGGCATTTGCAACCCATTCAGCTTCCTCCTTCCTCGCTGGATGTCCTTTCCCACCACCCCTGAGCTGCTCTGAGAGAACTATCTTAGGCAGAGTTCCACCCTTCTAAGCCAGGCCCGTAGCCAGGAATTTTTCGGGGTGTGTGTGCCGGGGTGCTAATTAAATTGAAACTGAAATTGTAAGTCAGCCCCATTGCAGGCCGAGGGACATAGTCTCAAGAAACATGCATAAAATCATGCTGTCAAAACCCCAATCCCCATCCATTCTGTTTCTTTCTGTCTACCACACATGCGAGGAGTTATATGTTCCTACCAAGAGCCTTCCACGTTGTTTCCCTGCATCTACTCTTTCTTCTGTCTCCCCTTACCTCGATAAGGATTTACTTCCCAAACACTACCTCTTGCCTCGCTTATCGGATGAGATTTATTTTCTTTTAACGCTTAGGCTACGACCATCCCGGAAACTACTCGGGAGAAAGTTCCGAGGGGCTTCCTACCAAGGAAAGGAAATCAGGCGCCAGGCTGGGCCATTCCTCCTTGCCTGCCTGCCCGCCTCCTCCAGTCATCCTCCATCCCCGCTTGCTGCCCGAGGTCCAAGGCAGGTAGGGCAGTGGGCAGTGAGCGCGTCCCCCGCCAAGCCGCACAAGGCCAGGTACTTTTCGGGGGGTGGGAGGCAGTACTGCGTGGCAGTGCTGCATGCCTCAGGCTCCCCCCCCCCCAGCCAACTAACAGAAGGAAGGAAATCATGCTTTCGGTCAATGTGGCAGCGGCCCAAAACAGCATGGCTTAAACAAGAAGTTGTTTAAATTTAAAACAAGAACGGGAAGACGGGGGAATATTGGGGTGGGGCATTGCAAATGCAATGGGGGTGCTGCCCCAGCCCTGCCCATATAACTTCAATGTACTGTGAAAGTTTTAGGATTTCTGACATGTCTGGGGCACTGTTCCCTCTAAGCTGAGTTAGTGTGAGCTAGCTCACAGTTTTTAAGCCTCCAGCTCACATATGTTTGTCTTAGCTTAGGAAGGATGTGGCTCCAGAGCAAGCTAATTCATGCAGCAGCCAAATCGCTCGCTCACAACTTTAATGCCAGTAGCTCACAGAGTAGGATTTTTGCTCACAAGACTCCACAGCTTAGAGGTAACATTGGTCTGGGGGCTTCCTTTTGGTTTCTTGAACCAGTGATAAGAATAGCAATGACGGAATCTTTGTCGTCTTTAATGAAGCATTTCGTACTGTTTACGGAGATCCTCCTTCACTTTAGCAATTTCACTCATCAGGCGTTGCGTTGCAGGGAGCTTACACGATCCTAAGGACAGAAACCAAGACAGCCTGAATCAACTTGCTGCTATGATCTGAGTCCCCTTTCATGAGAAGCCCCAAGAGCCCTCTTGGTCTGGTGCAGTCAAATAAATAACTAAATAAATAAAGACTGACAAGCACTTGACAGCCTGCAGTATCCTGGAGGGCAGGAGTTAGATTTGAGGGGACCCACTGAGAGCCAATGGGGTGTCGTGGTTAAGGGTGATGGATTTTTTCCTGGGAGGCCCGGGTTGGAGTCCCCACCTGTGTAGTGGAAGCTCGCTGGGTGACCTTGGGCCAGTCACAGTCTCTCAGCCTAATCCACCTCACAGGGTTGTTGTGAGGAGGAGAAGAGAATGATATAAGCCACCCGGGGTCCCCATTGGGGAGAAAGGTGGGGCACACAAATGGAATGAATAAATAAAACTGAAGCTGAATCCAGACAAGACAGACATAAAGCTGCTTGGGAAGGCCGATATTCTCGAGGGACTGAATCCACTTGTCCTAGACAGAGTGCTGTTTGCTTCCTCAGAGCAGGTCAAGAGTTTGGGTGTGCTCGTGGACCCCACCTTGCTGTTTGAAAAGCAGGTTGGCAAAGCGGCCCAGAGTGCCTTCCGTGAGCTGCATCTGATTTGCCAACTCTCTCCCTACCAAGACTCCGTTGATCTGGCCACAAGGATCCATCCTCCTGTCACCTCACCGTTGGATTACTGCCAATAGGCTCCATGTGGAGCTGCCCTTGAAGACAACTCAGAATGGCTACCCAACTAGCCAAGCCTAGACTGATTCCACAGAAGCAGTCGTCCTGCCCTCGGTCTCCCGTTTCCCCCGGCTGTACTGCTCAATTCCCCACTATTTGCTGCGTGGCTGCATTTTGACCTGCATCTCCCCCCGATTTCCCCTAGGGGGGGAGATGTGGGTCAAAATGCAGCTGCGCAGCAAATAGTAGGAAATTGAGCAGTACAGCCGGGGGAAACTAGAGACCGAGGACAAAACGGCTGCTTTTGTGGAATCAGTCCTAGGTTTTTACAAGCTTCACTTGCTTCTGGCCCTTTTAAAAATGACTGCTGCAGTCATGAAATGTAACACAAAAAGATGTTTAGCTGGCTTGACACATGGAAAAAGAATCATTTGTTGCAACTCCAGCAAACTATGGTCAGATCATGACACAGAATATGCCATGAGCACATCACGCAGCAGATTCCTGTCGATCTCAGTAAAGACGGTTCTAGCCAAAATGGATGCAGAATAGCACATGAAAGTGGGGAAGTGCAAACATCAAAAGTGAAAAACCCACTCAGAAGATGAAGAAGAAGTGTTGAATTTATACCCCGCCCTTCACTACCCAAGTGAGTCTCAGAGCGGCTTACAATCTCCTTCCTCTCCCCACAACAGACACCCTGTGAGGTAGGTGTGGCTGAGAGAGCTCTGATAGAACCACTCTTGAGAGAACAGCTCTGAAAGAACTTGTGACTGACCCAAGGTCACCCAGCCGGCTGCATGTGGAGGAGTGGGGATTCAAACCCAGTTCTCCAGATTAGAGTTCGCCGCTCTTAACCACTAGGTAAAGGTAAAGGTTCCCTTGCTCGAAAGCCAGTCGAGTCTGACTCTAGGGTTGCGGTGCTCATCTCCATTTCAAAGCCGAAGAGCCAGCGCTGTCCGAAAACATTTCCGTGGTCATGTGGCCGGCATGACTAAACACCAAGGCGCACGGAATGCTGTTACCTTCTCAATGAAGTGGTACCTATTTATCTACTTGCAATCTCTTGCTTTCGAACTGCTAGGTTGGCAGGAGCTGGAACTAGAGACGGGAGCTCACTCCGTCATGCGGCACACTCGGGTCTTGAACTGCTGAACTACTGACCTTCCAACAGCCTGCAGTTCAGGGTCTTAACCACTTGAGCCACCACAGCTCCTTTTAACCACTACACCAAACTTAACCAGTACACCATTATCAGAGTACCCTGTTGCCAAATCAGCTTGTTTACCTTTGAATACTCTTGTGATCCAGCGGGCCTGAAGTTCCACTGCCGGCATGATGGATCCGGTTACTGCTATGAAGCCAATGATTGCCAGCATGTGCCTCTCCAGATGAGGAGGGAATATCTGCTTATAAAGGGACATGTTGTTTCTGCAGGCACTCTGAAGAGATTCTTCCAGAAAGGGGAAGGATGGGGTGTAGCCTGTTGCAAAGATGACTGCATCTATGTCCTTTTCTACCGTTCCATCGTCAAAGATGACAGAAGTCTCTGTGAACTCCTTCACATTTGGCTTTACCTCCACAGCACCACAAAGGATACGACTGGGCAGTTCATCGTTTAGAATTAACGGTGTCCATGAACTGTGAAACAGACAAAGGCGGGGACATGTCCTTTACCTGTATATAGTCCCATCTGTCTTACAACCCCTGTTTTCTTTCCCTGGTGTTGCTCCCAGGATGAAGAAGGAGGAGGAGGAGATTGGATTTATACCCTGCCCTTCACTCAAAGTCTCAGAGTGATTTACAATCTCTTCCCTTTCCTCTCCCCACAACAGACACCCTGTAAGGTAGGCGGGGCTGAGAGAGCTCTGACAGGAACTGCTCTTGAGAGAAGTATGACTTTCCCAAGGTCATCCAGCAGCTGCATGTGGAAGAGTGGGGAATCAAACCTGATTCTCCCAGCTTAGAGTCCGCACACCTAACCGCTACACCAAACTGGCTCTAGATTGTTTATGAAAGACTGACAGGGATATCTTTTGGAAATATTGTCAAGCCCATGCAAAGGCATGTGGGCATGTTTGATCTCCTGCCCCTCAAGTCTTTAGGAGATGAGGGGAAGAACAGGCACCACCACGAATAACCGCTCATGCCAGTTAGTGGTTAGAGTGCTGGACTAGGGTCTGGGAGACCCAGGTTTGAACTCCGACTCTTCCACGGATGCTTGCTGGGTGACCTCGGGCCAGTCACGCACTCTCAGCCTAACTTACCTCACAAGGCAGTAGTGAGGATGAAACGGATCTGTATGAGCCACTTCAGGTATCCATTCTGGAGAAAATTGGGGTATAAATGAAGTAATGAACTAAGATCCGTTCCTTGCCTGGGTAAAAATAAGTTCCCCCTTTCTTTCCCCCTTAATTTCTCAGAAACTTTGGCACGGACATGAACAGAAAATTAATGTTAACTAAAGCTTCCTGTTTGAACGGGTTTTTGATGGTAGGGTGTGCAGAATGACAGGGATTGCATGTATCTCAGGCTGGCTTTCAGTGCCTGAGATGGAGCTCATATTACCCTTTGACCGGGACTAACACTCTGGTATAATCTAAAATACTGTCTTCTGCTTGTGAACCCAGCATACCTGGGTATGACTAGGACCAACTGTCATGGTCTAGCTAGATTAGTTACAACACGAGGGCACCTTTCCAAAACATTTTCCTTCAGGGTTATAGAAATTACTAGGAAGAAAATCAGTTGATCAATTGGAATTAGTTGTTGTAGATTTTCCGGGATGTGTGGCCGTGGTCTTGGCATTGTAGAACCTGATGTTTCGCCAGTAACTGTGACTGGCATCCTCAGAGGAATAAACACAGAAAGATGGAATACTCTCTGTGTCATGGTGAGAAGAAAATGGTAGACAGTAAATTTATATCTACTCCAGAAGGTGGGTAGAGCTGAGTCATTGTCTTGTAGGAGTTCCCCAGACTATGGACATGCTAATGGAGGAGCTTTCCTGAGGAGGTTTCCTGCTTCCTGAGGAGGTTGTTGAAATTCTAATCTTATCTGTAGTGCTGTTGTCTGATGTAAAACCTTTTGTGTTTTTCAGGACAGGAAACCATGTCCTATTTATTTTTAAACTCTCTTCTTTCCTGTTGAAATTATGTTTATGTTTGTGAATTTCAATGGCTTCCCTGTGTAATCTGACATGGTAATTGGAAGTGTTGTCCAACCTTTCAGTGTCTTGGAACAAAAAACTGTGTCTTGTTTGAGTTAGGCTATGTTTAGCCACTGCTGATTTTTCAGGTTGGCCAAGTCTGCAGTGTCTTTCATGTTCTTTTATTCTTGTCCAAATACTACACTGTGTGCCCCCGATGTAAACTTGTCCACAACTGCATGGTATGCGGTATACTCCTGCAGAAGTGAGGGGGTCTCTTCTGTCTTTTGCCGATCATGGCATCTGTTGTATTTTTCTGGTGGGTCTGAATACTGTTTGTAGGTTGAGTTTTTTCATAAGTTTTCCCATTGGATCAGTGATTCCCTTTATAGATGGCAAAAACACTTTTCCTGTGGGAGACTGTTTTTCCTCAGTTGTTTGTTTTACCTTTGGTTTAATCGCTCTTCTGATTTGATTATTGGAGTAGCCATTTGCTTGAAGAGTATGGTTTAGATGATTTAGTTTGTCATTGAGAAAGTGCGGTTCACATATCCGTCTTGCACGGTCTACTAATGTTTTGATTATGCCTCTTTTTTGCCGAGGGTGGTGATTGGAGTTTTTATGCAAATAGCGGTCCATGTGAGTTGGTTTTCTGTAGACCTTGTGACCTAATTGAAGGTTAGTTTTGCAGATGACCATGATATCTAGAAATGGGAGTTTATCCTTGACTTCTTTTTCCATGGTGAATTGTATGTTAGGGTGGATGTTGTTGAGGTGGTCTAAAAACTCCATCAATTCTACTTCTCCATGGCTCCAAATGATAAAGGTATCATCTACGTACCGGAACCAGACTGTTGGTTTGTGGGGTGCAGATTCTAAAGCTGTTTTTTCAAAATGCTCCATGTAAAAGTTTGCTATAACTGGGCTGAGAGGGCTTCCCATGGCAACCCCATCTATCTGTTCGTAGAATTCATTATCCCATTGGAAGTAACTGGTTGTCAAACAATGGTGGAATAAGGCTGTTATGTCATCTGGAAAAATTTGATTAACAAGCGCAAGTGTGTCTTTTACCAGAACCTTGGTAAACAGAGATACCACATCAAAACTGACGAGTATGTCCTGTGGGTTAAGTTTCAGAGAACTGATTTTGTTGATGAAATGTGTTGAATCTTTGATGTATGTTGTGGTTTTTCCTATGTGGTTTTGAAGAAGATTGGCCAGGTATTTAGCTAATTCATATGACGGGGAACCAATGGAACTCACGACGGGTCGGAGTGGGACTTCCTTATGACTTTTATTCCATCTTTCTGTGTTATACCTCTGAGGATGCCAGACACAGTTACTGTGCCTTGATATGGAATCGAAAACTGCCTTTAAATTGATAAAGGCGGCATATAGAGAGGTAGGACCTCTGGCAGAATATTTTTCTATTAGGTGTCAAAAAATCAGGCAGTGCGCTGTAGTTGATCGTTCCGCTCTGAAGCCAGCTTATTCTTTTGGTATGATATCTTCTTGCTCCAGCCATGTTTCCAATTTATCTAATAGATGCCTTGTGTATAATTTGCTGATGATGTTTAAAAGAGTGATAGGCCTATAGTTGGCAGGATTCGTTTTTATACCCTTTTTATAAATCGGGACTACAACTGCAGTTCTCCATTGTTTAGGAATGTGAATTATCATAATGTATGTAAACAGTACCGCCAAAAACTGTGCCCACCACTCCAAATTTTCTTTCAAGGCTTCAGGTGGGATGAAAGGCACGTCTATGTTATGGGAGAATCATGTGCACAGGTAGGTTTAGTTAATAGCTTCCGTAATGCAGCTCCAGGAGCTGCGGTGGCTCAAGTTGTTAAGACGCTGAACTGCAGGCTGTGGAAGGTCAGTAGTTCAGCAGTTCGAGACCCGGGTTGCTGCATGATGGAGTGAGCTCCCGTCTCTAGTTCCAGCTCCTGCCAACCTAGCAGTTCGAAAGCAAGAAATTGAAGTAGATAAATAGGTACCACTTCGGTGGGAAGGTAACAGCGTTCCGTGCGCCTTGGTGTTTAGTCATGCCGGCCACATGACCACGGAAATGTCTTCAGACAGCGCTGGCTCTTCGGCTTTGAAACGGAGATGAGCACCACAACCCTAGAGTAGGATTCGACTGGCTTTTGAGCAAGGGAACCTTTACATTTACCTTTCCTCATCATCATAGGGGACTGGAATGCTAAAGTAGGAAGTCAAAAGGTAACTGGAATAACAGACAAGTTTGGCCTTGGAAAGCAAAATGAAGCAGGGCAAAGGTTAACAGAGTTTTGTCAAGAGAACACACTGGTCATAGCGAACACCCTTTTCCAACAACCTAAGAGGCGACTCTACACATGGACATCACCAGATGGGCAACACCGAAATCAGATTGACTATATAATTTGCAGTCAAAGATGGAGAAGCTCTATCCAGTCAGTAAAAACAAGACCTGGAGCTGACTGTGGTTCAGATCATGAGCTACTCATTGCAAAATTCAGACTTAAACTGAAGAAAATTGGGAAAACCACGAGGCCATTCAGGTTTGACCTAGATCGCATCCCTGATGAATATACAGTAGAGGTGAAGAATAGATTCAAGGGTCTGGATTTGATAGATAGAGTGCCTGAAGAACTATGGACAGAGGTTCGTGACATCGTACAGGAGGCAGCAATCACCACCATCCCAAAGAAAAAGAAATGTAAGAAAGCAAAGTGGCTTTCTGATGAGGCTTTACAAATAGCAGAGGAAAGAAGGAAAGCGAAAGGCAAAGGCGAAAAGGAAAGATTTACCCAACTGAACGCAGATTTCCAGAGAACAGCAAGGAGAGATAAGGAGGCCTTCCTGAATGAACAGTGCAAAGTAATAGAAGAAAACAATAGAATGGGAAGGACTAGAGATCTCTTCAAGAAAATTGGAGAAATCAAGGGAGCGTTCCATGCAAAGCTGGCCATGATAAAGGACAAAAACGGTAGGGACCTAACAGAAGCAGAAGAGATTAGGAAAAGATGGCAAGAATACACAGAAGAACTATACAAGAAAGACCTCGATGTCCTTGACAACCACGACGGTATAATCACTGACCTCGAGCCAGACATCCTGGAATGTGAAGTTAAATGGGCCTTAGAAAGCATTACTAACAACAAAGCTAGTGGAGGTGATGGTATTCCAGCTGAGCTATTCAAAGTCTTAGAAGATGATGCTGTTAAAGTTCTGCACTCCATTTGCCAGCAAATTTGGAAAACGCAACAGTGGCCACAGGATTGGAAAAGATCAGTATACATTCCAATCCCAAAGAAGGGCAATGCCAAGGAATGTTCAAACTATCGCACAATTGCACTCATATCACACGCTAGCAAGGTCATGCTCAAGATCCTACAAGCTAGGCTTCAACAGTACGTGGATAGAGAACTACCAGAAGTACAAGCTGGGTTTCGAAGAGGTAGAGGAACTAGAGATCAAATTGCCAACATTCGCTGGATTATGGAGAAAGCAAGAGAGTACCAGAAAAATATCTACTTCTGCTTCATTGACTATGCTAAAGCTTTTGACTGTGTGGATCACAACAAACTATGGCAGGTCCTTAAAGAGATGGGAGTACCAGACCACCTCACATGTCTCTTGAGAAACCTGTATAAGGGCCAAGAAGCGACAGTTAGAACCGGATATGGAACAACTGATTGGTTTAGCATAGGAAAAGGAGTACGACAAGGATGTATATTGTCGCCTTGCTTATTTAATATATATGCAGAGTACATCATGCGAAATGCTGGCCTGGATGAATCACAAGCGGGAATTAAGATTGCTGGGGAAAAGATCAACAACCTCAGATATGCAGACGATACCACTCTAATGGCAGAAAGTGAAGAGGACCTAAAGAGCCTCTTGCTCAGGGTAAAAGAGGAGAGCGCAAAAGTGGGCTTGAAGCTCAACATCAAAAAAACTAAGATCATGGCATCCGGCCCCATCACTCCTTGGCAAATAGAAGGGGAAGTCGTGGAAGTAGTGACAGACTTCACGTTCCTGGGATCCCAGATCACCGCAGACTGTGACAGCAGCCATGAAATTAAAAGATTTCCTTGGGAGGAAAGTGATGGCGAACCTAAACAGCATGATAAAAAGTAGAGACATCTCCCTGCCAACAAAAGTCCGCATGGTCAAAGCAATGGTATTCCCAGTAGTCATGTATGGCTGTGAGAGTTGGACTATAAGGAAGGCCGAGCGCCGAAGAATAGATTCTTTTGAACTATGGTGCTGGAGGAGACTCTTGAGAGTCCCTTGGACTGCAAGAAGAACAAATCAGTCAATCCTCAAAGAAATCAACCCTGACTGTTCCCTGGAAGGCCAGATAATGAAACTGAAGCTCAAATACTTTGGCCACCAAATGAGAAGGGAGCACTCACTGGAGAAGACCCTGATGCTGGGAAAGATTGAAGGTCAAAGAAGACGGGGACGGCAAAGGACGAGATGATTAGACAGTGTCATCGATGCAACGAACATGAAGTTGAGCCAACTTCAGAGGATGGCGGAAGACAGGAGGGCCTGGCGGGAGCTGGTCCATGGGGTCGCGAAGAGTCGGACTCGACTGTGCGACTGAACAACAAACAACTTCTTATACATTGCTAATCCCCCCTCCCCCCAAAACCCTCTAGGTTTTCTAAGTAGGGCCAGGTTTTCCCATCTCTATACATGCAATTCAATCCAGAGCAATACCTTTCAAGAGGAATCAAGCCGTAGTTCTCATGGTTAAACCATCGACCGAATATCTTTGTCAGCATCCTCTTTGAGATGCCTGCTGGAAGAAGGTTTCGAATGGAATTCGTAAAGCGGTTGGTGAAAATCATATCGAAAGGCCATCCAGCATCCGAAATGCGGCTCAACACCCATGTTCCACTTCTGGTGCTGAGAAAGACCTAATGGGGATTCAAAACAGAGAGGGGTATTTCTAGCAGCGGCCAATGTCTCACCACATCTGGGAGAGCAGGTGTGGGGTGTGGAGGAAGGTGTAGCCAAGACTGCAGCCACACGTAATTCAGGGTTGTGCTATTGTCATGCTATAGCAGTGGTTTGGCACTGGATTGGCTTGCTTGCATGACTGTAAAGCACATGGACAGTGCAATATCCAGTGATATGTAGATGTGATAGGCTTGCCAGCAGGCAGAGTGGTATTGCACAGTGTCATTTCCAGCCAAAAAACCCCAAAGATTTGACTATAAAAAGTAGAGACCACGCGTTAGGTTTTTGCTAGCCGCCATCCCCCCCCTGCCTGCTTTAACTCCCCTTCTGCCCAGCCTGCTAAAATCCTTTGTCTTTACCTGACCTCTTGGTGTGCACAGCCAAAGAGGTCCATGCCCTGCTGGCTGGTTCTGGCAGAGTGTGATTTAGAAGTACCCCTAGATTCTATTATTCTTCCCTCAATTTTTCATTGCAACAGACAAGACTCCAGGAACAGGCAAGTATGAACTATAGCCTACCTACCTCCTAAGTAAAGAGAACTATTTTTCTACTTCTGTATTTCTAAAGGAACTTGATTGCATGTGTGTGACTCTGATTTTGTGTGTATGTGATTTTTATATGCTTCAGTAAAAGACAGATTGTTTGGAATTCACCAGCCTCGTCTCTCTTTCACTGGGACATCTTTGGAGTTGACAGAACCTCCGTAAACTTTGGCGGGAACCCTTATAAATTTAGTTTGCCATCTCTTGTAGATAAAGCAGATTGGCTAATATCAGTGACTATCAAGCTGAGAACATAAGAGACGCCAATGTTGGATCAGGCCAAAAGCCCATCCAGTCCAACACTCTGTCACACAGTGGCCAGAAATACCAGTGCCATCAGGAGGTCCACCAGTGGGGCCAGGACATTAGAAGTCCTCCCACTGTTGACCCCCCCAAGCACCAAGAAGACAGAGCATCACTTGCCCCAGAGCCTCCATCTATACTTTGTGACTAATAGCCATTGATGGACCTTTGCTCCATATGCTTAGCTAATTCCCTTTTGAAGCTGTCCATGCTTGTAGCCGCCACCACTTCCTGTGGCAGTGAATTCCGTGTGTTAATCACTCTTTGGGTGAAGAAGTACTTCCTTTTATCCATTCTAACCCGACCGCTCAGCAATTTCATTGAGTGCCCATGAGTTCTTGTATTGTGAGAAAGGGAGAAAAGTACCTCTTTCTCTACCTGCTCTATCCCATGCATAATCTTATAAACCTCAATCATGTCACCCCTCAGTCGTCGTTTCTCCAAGCTAAAGAGCCCTAAGTGCTTAAGCTTTCTTCATAGGGAAAGTGTTCCAACCGTTTTATCATTCTAGTTGCCCTTTTCTGCACTTTTTCCAAAGCTATAATATACTTTTTAAGGTGTGGTGACCAGAACTGCACACAGTATTCCAAATGAGGTCATTGATTTATATAGGGGCATTATGATATTGGCTGATCTGTTTTCAATACCCTTCCTAATAATCCCCAGCATAGCATTGGCCTTCTTTATTGCAGTCACACACTGTCTCGACATTTTCAGTGAGTTATCTACTACAACTCCAAGATCTCTCTCTTGATCAGTCTCTGCCAGTTCAGAGCTTGACCACAGCTGGAGCCCTGGCCTCAGAAGGAGGAGACCCAGGGGAGAAGCAGACGCAAGCAGGACACCCTGGTGGATGGCTGGCTGATGCCACGGCCTTCCTGTCGCCGGCCTCCGAGGACCTGCGGCTCCATTGCTGTGGCGACGCCCTCCCAGTGGCCTGAACTAACAAGCCTCCTCTGATACTGTCTAATTGACCCTTCCTTAGTAACCAGGGAGCGTTCCGTGCCACGTGAGGCCACCAGAGCCATGGTCAGCCCCACAGCAGAAGGCCTCCCTCCTCCAGGGCCCCCTGCCGCTTCGTCTCCCCCAATCCCGAGGACATCGGCCGCCCTTGTGCCCAAGTGAGAGGCTGCTCAGGCCCTTCTCAGAGAGGCCGTTGCCTGATGCAACCGGTGTTGGCCGGAGGTTAACCTTCCTCAATTGCTGGGTATGGCTCCTGGGTATTCAAACAGGTCTAAATGAAAGGCCCTGGCAAGAGCAAAATGCAGCTCCCCCTGTCCGAAACCCGTCAGTTCAAAGTCTCCAGACGGGCTATATTTGGAGGCTGGCCTCGTAGCCTTGGGCACTTCCAGATGTTGGCTTCCCCATCACGGTTGCTTCTGACACAACAGTAAACAAACAGAAAAGAAAAAGAAAGCAACCTATCGTGTTAGCAAGGAGACCTGAAACTGCCACATATACCTCTTTGCCAATCCTAGAAGAAGAGGAGGAGATTGGATTTATACCCCGCCCTTCACTACCCAAAGGTGTCTCAGAGCGGCTTACAAACTCCTTTCCCAGGTACTGACCAGTGTTCCCTCTAAGCAGGCTAGATGGCCACCGGACAGCAATGCTGATTCTGTGAACTGAGGCAGATCATGAGAGAAGGGAGGGCAGGAAGGGTGGCCTCAGTGCTTAGTTCTCGTGGCCCTTTCTCACACACTCAGGGAAATGCTGATCACCACTTTGGAGGTCAGGAAGCAGTTTTTCTCCAGGCCAGTTTGCCCGGGGATCCTGGAGGGTTTGGGGGTGTTTTTGCCATCTTCTGGGCATGGAGCAGGAGTCAATGAGTTGTGGGGGGGGGGAGGTATTTGTGAATTTCCTGCATTATGCAGGGAGTTATACTAGGTCCCTTCCAACTCTTCTATGATTCTATCATTCTATGAAATCGGAGTTTGCCTTGTCATTAACTTGGTGGCCTTAATAAGCCACTTTCTATCACACTGTTCTTTCCCCCACCCCCAGTCTGACCAAGAAAACCAGGCAACAGAATCAAGCAGACAGAAAAGAGGGCACAGTCCCTCTGTCACATCCCCTTTGGAGTGAACTGGTGTCCGTTTGGTGCAATCCACTGCCTGAGTGCCCTCTGTGATCGTGGCTAAGAGACCATGATTCACGGAGCCCCTGTTTCAAATGCTGCTATTGCAAAGGGGCCTGGCATCCTCCCACAATTACAGCTGATCTCTAGATCAGTTTCCCTGGCAAAAAAAGGCAGGTTTGGAGGGTGGGCTCTGTGTCATGTCATCATCGCAGCCCCACTGGCTCCCTCCCCAAACTCCACTGTTCCCCAGGAACTGCCCCCAAATCTCAGGGAATTTCCCAAGGCAGCTGATGATTTGTTGCAGCCTCGGTCTCTCATCTGCATTGTTTTAGTGCCTATAAGGATGATAAGGCATGCAGTGCTCTGAACAGTCAGAGGCTCTGTAACGTGATTATTGTGTCTCGTGTCACAGTATTTCCTGCTCAAGGGGGAACTCAGCAGAGCAGCAAAAGAACAGTTACCTTAGCAGCGGCGCGGCTGACCTCTGCAGCAATGTCCCCTCCGGTGTTCCCAGCACCAAGAACAAGAACTCTTTTCCGTTCAAACTCGGTCTCATCTTTGTACTCCCAGCTATGCAGGCAGCGGCCCTTAAATTCCTTGATGCCTGTGGAGAAGAGAGTACAGACTTCCTCACATCTTCTTGTTCCACAAGATGTTTCCTGTTGGGAAGAAGTCTCCAGACATGTTGCGCTTGTGAGCTCTTTTTGAATCCTGAGAACAACTGGCGGGCCTGCCGCAGATGGCTGCAATGAATGGCAGGACTATCACAAAATGGCTGCCACGGGGGCCAACCAGAAGAGGTTGGGCCGTTCTGAAGTAACTGACACCACTGAGGGAGGCCGCTGCTTCTGAGTGGGTCTTTCCTGCAGACCTCCCATGGTGCCTCCTGCTTAATGCCTCCGCCAAGTTGATGACAAGGCAAACTTTGATTTGGAGACTTTGTGAAGGTCGGTTGGCTTGATAGTCACGAAGGCCACATCCAAGAGCTGCCACTTTGGCAGGTGACCTCCTGTCCGTCATTGTCTCCTCTGAGCCCTCACCTCCCTTCCTCAGTGAGGTCGTGGAAAACCAGGACTGGTCCTCTACTTCAGAGAAGAAGGAAGTGCGCATCGACGGACACCACGCTGGGATCATTGCCACCATGCAATAACATGGTTCCTATGATTACCAAACAGGCTGTGGTCTCACCACTAACTGGGCAACCCCTTTCAGCTATACCAGCCGAGGGGAACGTCCGTGTTCAGAGGCAGTGTGCCTCTCTGTTATCTGCTAGGGACAGACCGAAGGGCAGAATGTTGTCTTGGTGCTGTGCGCCTCCAAGCTTCCCAGAGAGCTGCTAGTAAAGAAATGCCGCGTGTAAAGTGGGGTTTGGTCATGGCCCCCACCATGTCCGGAGAAGCTGAAACTGCCCTTGGCAGATAATTATTTACATAATCTTGGAGGAGCACATGAAGAATTCCCAGCATGTGCCACTTCAGCAAGGTTACAGAACTTTTGGCCCATCTGTTTCAGCTTCTCAAAGCATTGTTAGGGGAGGGAGGCAGGAATCTGTTGTCAGTCACCCCACACCTCAGTCTGAAGAGCAAAGCAGCTCCCTCTAATGTTTAAAACAATATCCCCCTTTTTGTGTGACGGTGGACAACACTCGCCCAGACACAACTCCCCCTAAAATGTAACATCTAGTTTGGCCCTAAGCTAGCGACGATCATTATATCTAGTTCCATAAATTAATCAGGCTTAATTTGAAGAAGAGTTGGTTTTTATACCCAGCTCTTCACTACCTGAAGGAGTCTCAGAGTGGCTTACAATCTTCTTTCCCTTCCACTTTGATGTAGTGGTTAGGAGGGAGGACTCTAATCTGGGAGAACTGGATATGATTCCCCACTCCTTTTCCACATGCAGCTGCTGATGAGACCTTGGGTCAGTCACAAGTTCTCTCAGAGCTGTTCTCTCAAGAGCAGCTCTCTCAGCCCTCTCTCAGCCCCACCTACCTCACAGGGTGTCTGTTGTGGCGCGAGGAAGATTGTAAACCACTCTGAGACTCTTTTGGGTAGTGAAGGGAGGGGGAAAAGTCCAATCTCTTCTTCTCTTCCCACAATAGACACCCTGTGAGGTAGGTGGGGCTGAGAGAGGGCTGAGAGAGCTGCTCTTGAGAGAACAGCTCTGAGAGAACTTGACACTGACCCAAGGTCACCCAGCTAGCTTCATGTGGAGGACGAGCGGGGAATCAGATTAGAGTCTGTTGCTCTAAACCACTACCCCAAACTGGGTCTCAAGAATTACTTTCTTTGATCTGGCTTATAACTGCTGCATATCAACTGTACTGGTGACTCCAAGCTCTAGGGTAGTGTAATATTAAGAAAGAAATGGATTAATCTCCTCCTGGTGCATAACTTCCCTGTGGGTTGTGCCCCATCTGTCACCCTGTCTGTCCGGTCAGCTACATTTAAGAGTACCCAAGAACCAGCCGTTTACCTCATATTATGGCCACTGCGAATGGCAGTCAGACTTACTGGTGGCCACAATCCTCTATTCAGGCCAAACTAGACAATTCTGCATCCACCATGGGGGCATGGCAACATTTTAGAGCCGTTTTAAAAGAGACTTTTAAAGTCACGACAGTGGCCCAGTTCTGCCAGGGACACAAGGGCCCCCCCGCCCTCCCCCCATTTTCAAGAGCCAAAGCAGCCATTTCAGTGACTTTAAAAGGGGAAAAAAACCACGGGCTCTAAAATGGTGCTGTGTCCTCATGGCAGACTCAGGGATGTGGTGTTGTCTAGTTTGGCCCTTGGCTGCCAGCAAAAGTTGTGCAGTGAATTCTATTGGTTGAAGGTACTAGATTTCCTGAGATTTCAGTACATGCTTCTTCCACTGGGAGCAAGTCAGTTGCCATATAGACCATGAACAATTTCCAGTCACATGTCCCTAACAGACCTGGGAAAGAATCCAGTGGAAGATTTGGCTCTGCATAACGGC